CCATCCACCTTAAATAGGAAAGCACCCCGCTGATTGCTGATCAGGAACAGCTGGGCCACTCCCTCTCCTGGCAAGAGACTCACAGATGGTTAAGAGAACAGGAGTACTCACCCCGGCTCATGACAAGGAGCCTTAATGTGTACGAGTTTCCCCTTGAGTAATATTGGTTTGGGTTATGTATCGCCACATCAGCATGTAAATGCTGAACCAATCTGGAATAAAGACTGCTGATAGAGGATAAACAAGTAAATAAGAGAAAAATTAATACAACTAGCAAACCAACATAAAAACAGCAACCAGCAGCTGCACCTGTGAAGAAACATTTCTAAGAGTCATCAAGAAAACGTGGGATGAACAACTATAAACATGTAAACCATGAACCACAAACATCATGAACAACAAACATCAACAAGCATGTGTTCGTGCGTGTGCTGGGATGTGAAGTGTTAGACCGGATCAGGTGCACTCTGGAACGGCCACAAGCACCAGAAAACCTTGCTACAGAGAACTCAGCAAGGCTGACACAGGTCATGGGCCACATGGCACAGGAATCACACGGCATTTCCACCTGAAACAGAATCATTAAAATTAGAATCAAATACAACAGTTGTTCAGTATGACATCAAATGGATTTTTAAAGAAGGCAATTGGACTTCTTTGGTTTCATGAACACACTGGTACACCAGATCACTGTGTGTGTGTGTGTGTGTGTGTGTGTGTGTGTGTGTGTGTAAAAGCCATGTGTAGTGTTTATTTATAAAGCATATGTTGTTGGATTTTATCCAGAATCGAGACTTTGAAAACATATAGTTTAATTACAGTTTGATTTATTTGACATCTGTATAATGTTTATTATGTTATGTTAAAAATATTATGTTAACATGAATATTAATCATTCATCCCAATACATAAAGTTACACATTTTAAATTTTAATAGGGGAAGACTGCAGGAGGGAGCGGTAAAATACAGGGGGTCCCCAGCAAAAACAAACTTTACGAGTCTGATGAAACTTGCTGGTGTTCCCGCTGCTTCTTCGGTAAACAGCGCCAACAAAAACAAAGAAACTTGGGATCTTGTCGGCGTGGCGGTGGGATTTAAGGGAAACGCTGTATGCCCTATAGACTTCTCACCGAGCTGCAGTATTTCTCCGGTCAGATCTGTCTCCGAGTTCGAGCTCCAGGAGCGGTCAGCCCGCAGCAGCTAGGCGCCGCATCGGTCAGCCTGCCCGGCCTGACCGCTGGGGATTACCGGATGAAAGAATGGAACACAGAAGTGTCCCTCCAAGCGGCGCGCTCCGTCATATTTCAACCCATTTTTATCTTAAATGCACTGGGTTTTACCCTTTTACCCATCGAAATATGCCCTATCAATTATTTTACCGTATTTTACATTTAAATTTCATGGTTAAACAGTACATGCTACATGTTAAACTGATAGCTAGCTACTTCGGTAAACTCAGCTAGTTTAAAGGCAGCAGTGACATAAAATACGAATATAGATTTTAACTTACTGAAAAAAATGAAGTGGAGACTCCTTGGATGCTCTATTAGTGCAATTAATACTGCAAGACATTTTGTCCAACAATTGCACCAATAATATCCAAAACAGAATTCACAAGCACAGAGACTCAAAATCCCGAAAAAGTTTTCAGGCCAGACCGAGGCTGTAATGAGGCCTTTCCACGGAGCTAGCTCTGTGGTCACGTGGGTCTGAGGCGGCGGTCACGTGGGTCTGATGCTCATTAATTATACAGAATGTTAGGCTTTCAATACACTTAAACAGAAGAGTGAGAAAAAAATTCACCCCCCTCAGAGTTGTCATGAGTAGAAACTAGATAATTTAGACGAAAAACATGTTTTGGTACCAGGCTGTAAACATGTTTATTTCTGCTGTGAAATTGGTATTTTTAACATGGGAGTCAATGAGGATTTGTTCGCTTCTGGTACCAGCCCCCAGCGGATCAGGGTGGAACTGCAATTTCTCTTACTTCCGGGTTGGGACCATTTTTAGAGACGCATTGTGGGGGCTTGGTTTCTACCTGTATAAAACAATAAGTTACACACATGCAATATTTATACATCTGATACAATTCAGATCATCTTCAAAAGTCAGGGCCGTTTCAAGACATTTTGGGGGCCAAGGCAAAATGACCCCCCCCCCCCCACACACACACACACACACACACACACACACAAAATATCAATCCTACTTTTTGGAAAATAATAAGCAGTTTGTTTATACAAGAGAATTTAAGAGAATTTAAGAGACTTTAAGGCGAAGCGCTCGCACATACTGTGTTATTGTGTTGTTTTTTTTCTGTATGTGTGTGTGTGTGTGTGTGTGGGGGGGGGGCACCACGAAGCCTTTGTGCTTAGGGCACCAAAATAGCTAGCAACAGCCCTGCCCCAGCATATCACGATCTCAGGCAAGTGTTCAGTAAGACTCGAGCTTCGGCTCTGCCACCTCACCGTCCATTTGACTGTTCGATTGACCGTTTGCCCGGAGCTCCTTTACCCTCTGGCCGGCTGTACCAGCTTTTGAAGCCCGAGAGGGAGAGCATGGAGACTTATATTCAGGATGTCTTGTCTGCTGGCACAATCCGTCCTTCTACGTCACCTCTGGGAGCTGGGTTTTTCTTTGTGCCCAAGAAGGATGGAACATTAAGGCCCTGCATCGATTACAGAGGACTGAATCAGATTTCTGTGAAAAACAAGTATCCTTTACCCCTGCTGTCATCAACCTTCGAGCCCATACAGGACTCAGTGATTTTTACCAGGTTAGACCTCAGAAACGCATACCATTTGGTGCGTATCCGTCAGGGTGATGAGTGGAAAACAGCTTTTAAGACACCCATGGGACATTTTGAGTATTTAGTTATGCCATTTGGACTGACCAATGCACCCGCTGTTTTCCTGACTCTTGTAAACACTGTTTTGGGTGATTATTTAAATAAGTTTGTCACTGTCTACCTAGGCGACATCCTTATTTTTTCCAGTACTGAGACTGAGCACGTTCAGCACGTTAGAGCGGTTCTGCAGCGGCTGCTGGAGAACCGTTTGTACGTGAAGGCGGAGAAGTGTGAGTTCCATGTTCCAACGGTAAAGTTCCTGGGTTTTGTGGTTGAGTGTGGAAAACTCAAGGCAGACTAGAGAAGGTGCGGGCAGTTCTGGAGTGGCCCAAACCCACTTCCAGAAAACAGTTGCAGAGGTTTTTAGGCTTTGCTAACTTTTACCGAAGGTTCATTAGGAACTATAGTCAGACTGCAGCTCCTCTCACCGCACTCACCTCTGTGAAGAGAACTTTTGTTTGGTCCTCCGAAGCGGATGCCGCTTTTCAGGCGCTAAAGAGACGCTTCACTGAAGCCCCAGTGCTCCACAGACCAGATCCCCAACTACAATTCACCCTTGAGGTGGGTGCCTCTGACACTGGGGTGGGGGCAGTCCTGCCTCAGGTTGCACCATCTGACCACCGCTTGCATCCCTGTGCATTCTTCTCACGCCAGCTGACAGCCGATATGATGTTGGAGACCAGGAGTTACTGGCGGTCAAGCTGGCTATCGAAGAGTGGAGACACTGGCTGGAGGGAGCGGAAAAGCCTTTTGTCATTTGGACTGACCACAAGAACCTTGTGTACCTGCGGGAGGCTAAGAGACTCAACCCCCGACAGTATCGTGGTCCCTCTTTTTCTCTCGGTTTAATTTTGTGATTTCTTTTCGACCAGGGCACAAGAACTCTAAACCCGATGCCCTTTCTCGGCAGTTCGCCCCCGATCAAGAGACTGAACCCGCCACCATCCTGCCTCCTGAGTGTGTCGTTGGTGGAGTGACTTGGGAGATCAGGGACTAAGTGCTTCAGGCCCAACAAACTGACCCAGACCCGGGAAATGGAGCCCCGAACAGACTGTTTGTGCCACAGGGCATGCGGGGCAAGGTGATCCATTGGGGTCATACGGGGCGGTTCACCATCCATCCCGGAGAAGGACGCACAGTGGCGCTCCTGCGGAGAACTTTTTGGTGGCCTACATTGTACCAGGACGTTAAAAGTTATGTGTCTGCTTGTCACATTTGTGCCCAACAGAAGGGGGATAACAGAACGCCTGCAGGTCTTTTAAATCCCCTACCCACGCCCTCGCGGCCGTGGTCTCACATAGCACTGGACTTTGTTTGTGGTTTACCTGTCTCTTATGGTTTTAACACTGTTCTCACTGTTGTAGATAGGTTTTCAAAAGCATGTCACCTCGTTGCTTTAAAATCTCTTCCTTCTGCCGCTGTTACCGCACAGTTATTGGTAAAACATGTGTTTCGCCTCCACGGCATTCCGGAGGATATTTTATCAGACCGAGGTCCCCAGTTTGTGGCACGGGTCTGGAAAGACTTTGCTGAGACTCTGGGGGCTCGTGTTGCGCTCACATCTGGCCACCATCCACAGACTAATGGAAAGTGTGAGCGCATGAATCAAGAACTGGGGGCAATGCTTCGCTGTGTGTGCTCCACCCATTCTGCTACATGGAGCTCTCATCTCGCCTGGGTGGAGTACGCGCATAACAGCCACACATCCACAGCCACAGATCAGTCACCGTTTGAAGCATCTTTAGGGTACCAGCCCTCTCTGTTTCCTCTGCAGTCTTCCACAGCCATTTCAGTGCCGCAGTTCCTCAGGGGTGCCAGACGTGCATTGGTTTCTACCCGGGCAGCGCTGGGACGGACGGCGAGCAGGAATAAGCAGCTGGCTGATCGCCGGCGACGACCAGCGCCTGCTTACTCCCCAGGTCAACGGGTTTGGCTGTCCTCCAAAGACATTCCCCTGAAGGCAGCCAACCGCAAGCTCACCCCTCGGTTTCTGGGACCATTTGAGATACTGGATGTACCAACCCCTTCCACCGTGCGTCTGGACCTTCCACGGACTCTAAAGGTACATCAAGTATTCCATGTTTCGTTGGTGAAACCTCTAGGCTCCAGTCCGCTGTGCCCGGTTCCTGCACCTCCCCCTCCGGCTAGGCTCTAGAAGGGAGGTTTGGTGTACAAGGTCAACCGGATTCTGGACTCTCGGCCCCGTGGGAGGGGCGTGCAGTATGTGGTTGACTGGGAGGGATATGGACCGGAGGAACGTTCGTGAGTTCCTCGCTCCTTCATCGAAGACCCTTCCCTCATCCGGGAGTATGAAGAATCTGTTAGGACGCCGGGGGGCGTCCGTTGAGGGGGGGGGGTACTGTCATGAGCCGGGGTGAGTACTCCTGTTCCCTTAACCATCTGTGAGTCTCTTGCCAGCTGAGGGAGTGGCCCAGCTGTTCCTGATCAGCAATCAGCAGGGTGCTTTCCTATTTAAGGTGGATGGTGGACACAATTCGACGCCGGAAGATGGCCTCAGTTTTGGTAGTAACCAGCCACTTATGTTACCTCTAGTGTTCCTAGGATTAATGTTATTTCGTAGTGTTTTTGCTCTTATATTGGATTTACCATTCTTCAGGATTCCTGTCGACCTCATTGGATACTGACCTCTACTCCAGGATTCTGATATTCAGCACACGGACCTTATCACCAGCCTCCATAACCCACCTCTCATCTCACCCAGTGCCCCATCCACCAGGACGCCCCGCTTCTCTCCACCTCTGCTCCCTCTCCTGCGCTTCCCCCGGCTCTCTACCTCTCCCTCCTCCAGCGAACACATACACCCACCACAGTAAGTCTGCTGAACACCTCTGCCTGCCTACAATGGATTTTGAAACCAGAACCTATGCTCACCTGTGTTCTCCCTCCTCCAGACACTGAGCTGTTGTTGCAGTTCCAACCACAGACTTATCTGTGCACCTTAAGTTCCTCCTTATAAATAAATCATTTTATCCATCAATTTTTGGTCAGTGTTGTATTCTGCATGTCTTGGGTTAAGTACCTTCCTTCAAACATGACAGGAATCTAAAGTGACAACACAGGTAATGCAGTAGCACAGGTCTGATGGTCTGATCTCTCAAACCATAAAGTAGTGAACTCAGACATCTGGGCAAAATGATAAATATCACATAAAAAACATCCTGGACCAATACAAAAACTAATCGTGAAACAGTTCTTGCAAGAGCTATGAGCAGAGGGTAATATATGATTGAGGACAGACTGAGGCCTAGCTGTATCAGATGTAGTAGCAGGGTCTTACGGGCCTTATGAGCTGATGCTTTGTCTGTAGAAGCTGATCTGGCTGCTACTACAACTCCAGTGTAGGAATAAATTACTGCCAAACCAGCTGAAACAAATACAAAACAAGTGTAGGCTTTATCATAGTTATCTCGCTGAGTGTTTGGAAACCAAGTAATGTCATAACAATAGTCTTTCATCAGGAGGTTACTCATATTTTCAAAAGAATATTCCAATAAAAAAAGACCCCGAGTCAAATTGTTAATGGAACTAATAGCCCAGCTTGCGATAATAGCCACTGCTGTGTTTCTGGTAGAAATGATGGAGGCATGCCTCAGTGGGAAGCACACAGCTACATATCTCTCCAGTGACATCACTACCAGTGTGAGAGGAGAGATTCCTGCTGTGAGATTGGCAATTGTAGCGATGGTACCACATGCAGGATATGTCAGTCTTACTCTACAAACAGCAAGTAGAAACAGAAGCTGACTCACTACCAGCTGAGCAGTGTCTGCAAGTAGGAGGTTATACAGAAGAATATAACGGCAGGTGTCACGAAACACTGGTTTGCTTCTCAGAGTGAATAACATGGTCCCATTAATGCAGAGAAACACACAGGCTGGAACCGTGGAAAAACCACAGAGGACCACTCTTTCCAGTAAACTCTGATACAAAAATACATCAGTGTTATTGGAGAAAAAATCAGACACATTTGACATTACAGAGAGACTATTAAAGATGTGTAGGGTGTCAGCCTGTTCTTGTGTGAAAACAAAAGCAACAATAAATTCAGTTTACCAGATAAAACTCAAGCAGTTTAGAGACCAGAAAAAAGACACAATAGTTCAGACTTCCACCAGGGCAGAGTTGGTCTGCAGGGTTTCCCTGACTTCACCTATGATTTTATGATCTGTCCCTGGAAACCTGCTCACGTGACATAAAGTTTACCAACGTTTACCAGATCAGTGATGGGTGATGTATTCTCTCTTGTCAACCATTCAGTGGTAGCCGTTTTCTCAACGGACTGCCCCTAACTGCCAGTGTTTTTGTGTATTTTTGCTGTTTTGTGAAGGGTCAGAATATTGTGCTCTGTGACCATGTAAATACCAAACTTACCAAAAGAAAGTGTACACTCACTTTTTACATCAGGAAAAATCACACATGGATGGAAATCAACTTTAGAGCCATGATTTTTACTCTGAAGGTGCAGAAATTGGATTACTCAAAACTTTTTGCTTTTAAATTAAGACAAAACTGAAGTTCTCATCTTTGGACATGAAATTCAGAAAAGGAAATTGCTTAGTCAATCACCTGACCTGAATGGCAATAAATTAGTCTCTGAGAACAATGTAAGGAACCTTGGTGTTATCTTTGACCAGGACATGTCATTCAAATACCAGGTTAAACAGGTTTGTAGGATTTTCTTTTGCCATCTTCCGAATATTGCTAAGATTAGAAGCATCCTTTCCAGGAGTGATGCTGAAAAACTAGTTCATGCATTTATTACATCAAGACTGGATTACTGTAATTCATTGCTCTCAGGAAGTCCACAGAATGTAGTTAAAAGTCTTCAGCTTGTCCAAAATGCTGTGGCTAGAGTTCTGATGAGAATTAAAAAGAGAGATCATATCTCTCCTGTCTTAGCTTCCCTACATTGGCTACCTGTTAAATTCAGAATAGATTTTAAGATCCTCCTTCTCACATATAAAGGTCTTAATAATCAAGCTCCATCATACTTCAGTGATCTGATTGTTCCATACGTTCCTAACCGAGCACTTCACTCTCAGACTGCAGGTTTACTGGCGGCTCCCAGAATATCTAAAATTTGGATGGGAGGCAGATCTTTTAGTTATCAGGCTCCTCTCCTGTGGAACCAGCTCCCAGCTTTAGTCCATAAGGCAGACACGTTGTCTACTTTTAAGAATAGGCTTAAAACTTTTTTATTTGATAGGGCCTATGGTTAAAATTTGATGTTAGCCCCGATCTGGACAAGTGGGGGAGTTGAGGGAGGTGGAGTGTACAGTCTGTAAAGACGGCTCTCCCTTGCCCTGCCTCCAACATGCCTCCATCTAAAAAGGCTAGGTTATCCAGAATTATCTCTGTAGTTATGCTGCGATAGGCTAAGACTACTGGATGACATACTGATTACTTTCCACACTCGACTACTTTCTTCTACAATCTGCTCTTTAACTGTATTATTTCCTGCTATTTCAGCTGTTAACTTTATTTTTTCTCTAAGTGTTTTTCTCCTCAGAAGAAGCTACAATGATGTTCTGCTGAGCTGTGGTGGCCTCATGGAGGGGGCCATCGTCTAGCACACTGCTGCTAACCACTTAAACATTCTCCCTCTCCTGATAATAACTTTTTACTCTCTTTGACATTGAATGTGCTACTACTAGTTTATCTGTTTAATTATAGATTCACTAGGATAAATACAATAAAGTTTATCTCTAACTTCAGCAAGATGGCGCCCATGAGTGGCTGTACGTCTGCTAGGCTCCTGATCTGTTTTAGTTACTTGTTGTTTTATTTATTTATTTTTTTCTCTATCTGGTACGGAGTCCCTGCTAAACATATGATCGAGACTTACTGTTGTCGATCAGGTCCGCGATGATCAACCTCCAGAACTCCGATACCGGACCCGCTTTCCCACCGCCTCTGGAACCTGGCGTTAACCCAGATCTCGGCCCTCTGTTTCCTGTCGGCCTGCCGCTGCCCATGAGGCCATGGAAGAGGAAACGGGGGAAGAGAGCCGGCTTCTTCGTTCAGCTTCGAAAGATCCTGAGAGGCGAAGCTCTACCTGATCGCTGCTCCACGGCTGTGTTGTGGCGGATCCAACAGAAACTTAACGGAGTTGGGTTGATCTCGCTGCTAAATGGAGCCCCTGATGCGGGACCCTACCTGAAGGCGTGGGAGACAAAGAACCTCCGCGGGCGTAGCCTGGAGTCGCTACGTAGCTTAGCCCGCCAGCCGCCCGCCAGCCGCCCGCCATTAATGAGCTCGCGGCACACACATCGCCAGATTCCTCCGCAAAAATTATGTTGATTAATGCGCGCTCAATCGTCAACAAGTCTCACATCCTCAACGATCTGTTCCGGACCAAAAAAATTAAACTTTTTGTGGATTTCTGAGTCGTGGCAGCGCGAAAATGACGTCACTCATCTCCGTGAGCTCTGTCCTCAAGACTGCTCTTTCTTCTCTGCTCCACAGACCACAGGCCGCGGTGGAGGAACAGCTGTTATCTTTAAGAAACACTTTTCGTGCCAAATTATATCCTCAAACTCCTACAGCTCATTCTAGATGATCATGATTAAAATTGGTCGAGTTCAACCAGTTTATGGAATTCTGGTCTATCGCCCACCTGGACCTACTTCATCCTTCCTGTCTGACTTTCAGGATCTCCTATCTTCAACTATTAAACTAGACAGGATAATCATTGTTGGAGATTTCAACATCCTTGCTGAGGATCTATCTAACAGCTCCACTAGGGAGTTCCTAAACACGATGAACTCTTTTAACTTCTCTCAACACGTGTCTGGTCCCACTCACAGAGCAGGCCACACCCTGGATCTGGTCTTTTCCTACGGACTTCTTGTTGATATGCTGCAGATAAATGATGTTGTGTTCAGTGACCATAAGTCAGTTTCTTTTCATATTAACCTAAATTCTGAATCTCTTTTACCAGTCTCTGCTAAGCAACGACGTATTATCAACAGTTCTACCATTTTAAATTTCTCCTCCCTCTTTGACTTTGTACCTCCCTCCTCTGATGACGTAGAGCTCCTTACCAACTCATCTAATGATCACTGCCTCAAAATTCTAGATCAGGTCGCCCCTTACAAAACCAGCCTCAGTTCCAGTGCTTCCAGTTCACCCTGGCTGAACAACCAGATTCTTGATCTTAGACGCTCCTATAGAAAAGCGGAACGACTGTGGAAGAGGACAGGTGTGGTTGTTCATCGCGAATATTTTAAAGAACTTCTCGAGTCATACAACAAAGCTGTAGAAAATGCCAGGTCTTCTTTCTTTAGCAACCTCATATGCCAAAATAAGAATAATCCTAACGTTTTGTTTGATACCATCTCCAGCATCGTGTCTTCTCCTCCGCAGCAGGCTCAGCTTTCTTCAGCTGATGACTGTAACACCTTTCTCCACTTTTCTGAAAACAAGGTGCTGAATCAGAGATCCAGCATTCCACCAGCCCTCCCCCCCTCAGGAGGGGAGGCCTCCCAGTGCTCCGAGTCTTTCACCTCCTTCTCCCCAATTACACTAAATGACTTAACCTCAATAATCAGTGAGATGAAACTCTCATCATGCTCATCAGATATCTTAACTCCCTCTGTTTTAGTCAGGTCCCTTGCCTCTATCAGTCCATCTCTGTTGACTATAATCAACAGCTCACTGAGCCTAGTGACTCCTCTCTTAAAGAAACCCAACCTTGACGCCAGCTCCACCACTAGTAACTTTAGGCCCATTTCTAAGCTACCTTTCATCAGCAAAGTACTTGAGAAGGTTGTTGAAACCCAACTCAGATCCTGGTTTTCTAAGTCAAAGATCTCTGACCCCTTCCAATCTGGCTTTCTGAAGCAGCACTCAACTGAGACTGCTCTAGTAAGGGTGCATAATGACCTCCTGATGGCTGCTGATGCAGGGAAATGCTCTGTCATGGTCCTGCTTGACCTCAGTGCAGCTTTTGACACTGTAGACCACAACGTTCTACTAAACAGGTTAAAGGCCCTGGCTGGGATTTCAGGTTCTGCTCTAGACTGGCTCTCTTCCTATCTCACTAACAGAACATTCACAGTGAAGTCTGAAACCTTCTCTTCAGACACTGCCTCTCTAACATGCGGGGTCCCACAAGGTTCAGTTCTAGGGCCTCTACTATTCGCATTCTATATTCTTCCCCTAGCTGGCATCATTCAATCTTTCCCAGACATCTCCTACCACATCTACGCTGACGATATTCAGCTCTATATGTCCTTTATGCCACACCAGTTGGACAGGCTGGTCACACTTGTACTCTGCCTGACCCAGATCAGTAACTAGCTGTCCAGCAACTTTCTTGTCCTCAATACTAACAAGACAGAGACCCTGATCGCTGCATCCCCGGAACTTCAGCCAAAAATCAAGCAAGAAATTGCCTCTTTTTGCCCATCAGCCAAGGCCAACATTAGAAACCTGGGAGTTATTTTTGATCCAGCTTTAAGTTTAGACTCACACGTCAAAACCATCTCCCGCTCTTGTTTCGTTCAACTGAGAAACATTTCAAAAGTCCGTAAACTGGTTTCTACTGCAGATCTGGAAAAAATCATCCATGCCTTTGTGTCATCACGCTTAGACTACTGCAATGCTCTTTTTACTAGTCTCAGCAAAACCTCCCTCTCACGCCTTCAAGCCATCCAAAACGCAGCAGCCAGACTCCTAACCAAATCCAGCAGACGAGCTCACATCACTCCAGGTTTACAGTCCCTCCACTGGCTCCCGGTAGAATATAGAAGACAGTTTAAAGTTTTAGTCCTGACCTATAGAACTCTTAACAACCAGGCTCCAAGCTACCTATCTGAGCTTTTATCCCCACACACCACCTCACGGAACCTTAGATCCACATCTGAAAACCTCCTGGCTGTTCCTCGATCCAGACTGAAAACCAAAGGGGACAGGGCCTTTCAGACTATTGCACCCAGACTTTGGAACAGTCTACCTTCAAATCTCCGTCTCTCTAACACTGTAGAGGTCTTTAAAAATCATCTAAAACTCACCTTTTCATCCAGGCTTTCCCTCCCTAAATGTTTCAGAATGATGGCTTTGTTCGGGTTCACACCTTCACTTTGTTTATACTCATGATTTAATTTTCTATTTTATCACTGCTATTGTTTTTTCTGATGTTTTTATTGGTTAGAGGTATTTGCCCTGATCTTTATCATGTTGTACAGCGCTTTGTGATTTATGTCTGTGAAAGGCGCTATATAAATAAACTTTTACTTACTTACTTACTTACTTACTAACCAAATAGAATATTTACTAAGGAATCACAATGTAATCTTAGAAACACTACTTGGTATATATGTGTGTGTGCGCGTGTGTGTGTGTGTGTGTGTGTCTTCTTGATCCCCAGTGAGTCGTGGTGGATGGCTTCTTAGGCCTAGTCCACACGTAACCGGGTTTTTTGAAAACGAATATCCGCCCCTCCAAAAACTTGCATCCACACCACCTCGTTTTAAAACAAAACTCTGTCCACACGTACCCGGATAAAGACGTTGTTATGGACATGCCAGACCTGTAGGTGGCAGTACTTCCCCGTTCTTAACCTCGTCCTTCGTCTCTGGTCTTCCGCAAGGAGCAGTAATTCCGCTTGCAAAAACAAACAAGCAGAAAGCACTTGGACAATTGATAAAGCGAGCGCAGCTCTGAGGGCATCCATGCTGTCGGCTAGTGTAAACAAAGGTCGCACACGTGATGTCAGCATTTTTTTGTCGCGAAAAGTGACGTTGCGGACCTTAAAACTCCGGTTTTGTCTGTCCACACGCAAACACCCAAAACGGAGAAAACGCAGATCTTCACTTTGGCCGGAGTTTTTAAAAAGATCCGTTTTCGTGTGAAAAAACTCCGTTTTCGTGTGGACGACAGGCCAAAACGTAGAAAAATATCTACATTTTGGCAGATCCCCGGCTACGTGTGGACAGGGCCTTATACTGAGCCAGGATTCTCTGGAGGTTTCTTCCTGTTAAAAGGGGTTTTCCTCTCCACTGTCACTAAATGCTTGCTTAATATGAGGATTGCTGTAAAGTCACTGACACTAGTCAGTGACTTGATGCAATTTGCTGGGTTCCTTATATAGGAAACTTTTTTCTGATTGGCTTAATGAACTGACCTATATTTGAATGTTTACTGTGTGAAGTTCCTTGAGACGACTCTTGTCCTGACTTGGCGCTATATAAATAAACTTGAATTGAATTGAAGTTTGTTTTCCATGGATTTAACTGTTTTCCAAAACTTTCTTGTATCAGTGCCACAGGTAGAGAGATTCTCCTTATAGTAGGAGATTGTGGCATCGCCTGTGTGGTTTGATTTCTGCATTGTCTGAAGGCAAGCCAATCTGAAGGGCACTGAGAGGAACGAGTTTTTTCCAAAGGATGTTCTTTTTGTGGATAAGTCCCGATAGTTCATGGGAGAACCAAGAACTGTAGCGATTCTATGTCCTAAATTTTTTCAGAGGGGCATGTTTATCAATGTTTTGCTCCAATTCACATACACAACATCTTGAAGATAAGCCTGCATGTCCAGGTTCCTCAGAGAGTGCTTGGTCACAATCACTGGTGGCCATTTAATTGAGCAGTTAGAGCAAATACATGCTGTAGAGCAGTGGTCAATTATTTGACTGAAGACTCCGGTCTGATAGAAGGACTGTTAGTGAGAATGAGGTCAATCAGCGTTGAGGATGTTGGAGGTTTGGAGTTGAGTTTGGTGAGTCTATATGGCGGGCAAATATATTTTCTACATATATTTTAAAATATTTTTAATAATTATCTATATGCTTTTTTTCTATATAACGTCCAGCCCTAAAGAGCGAGGTATGATGACACAACAACACCCCATCCATGCTCTTGTAAACGCTTAGCAAAGTTGAACGGAAGAAGAAGCTGTGACAGGAACATGTGCAAAGCCAAAATCCACTTTGAAGTGTTTTTCATGAGGAAATAACAACATAACACGGTCAAAGGCTCGAAAAAGTAGATTTTGGACAATATAGGACCTTTGAGGAAATTCTGAGGACAAAAATGCATCAAACAGTACTAACATGGTGCACTTATAAAGTGGTCTGATAAAAGTTAATTGTACAGCTCTCATACTTTAATCCTTTTGCTTTTTCACCAAAGTCTTTGACAAACTTTCTAATAACAACTCAGACAATCATGTCAAATTCTAAATGTGGAAAATTATACACATTTTTGACATATAAACATTATAGCAGCACTGTTATTTGGTTAAAAGTATGTTGCCTTTCAACTTGATGATTGCTGGTTCTACACCTGGCTGCAGCCTTTTTATGTGGAGTCAGCGTGTTCTTCACTGACTATGTGTGTCTATGTGATGGATTTCTAGCCACTGGCCTCATTTAGCAGCAAAGCCGCCGACCTATGCCTAATGGTAAAACCACCTCTGTAGATTCCTAGTTATCAGAGGATTGATATTTTAACACAATGCTTAATTGATTTCAAGCAATGCCATCATATACTGCTTTGATGTTTACATTTTTTTCATACTCCAGCAAAAATGCACAAGCAATTTTTTTTTCAGCCAAGGCCAGGTTCAACTGGGAATCTGAAGTGACAACACAGATAATGCAGTAGCACAGGTCTGATGGTCTGATCTCTCAGACCATAAACTAGTGAACTCAGACATCTGGGTAAAATGACAAAGAAAACATAAAAAACATCCTGGACCCATACAAAAACTAATCGTGAAAGAGTTCTTGCAAGAGCTATGAGCAGAGGGTAATAAATCATTGAGGACAGACTGAGGCCTAGCTGTATCAGATGTAGTAGCAGGGTCTTACGGGCCTTATGAGCTGATGCTTTGTCTGTAGAAGCTGATCTGGCTGCTACTACAACTCCAGTGTAGGAATAAATTACTGCCAAACCTGCTGAAACAAATACTAAACAAGTGTAAGCTTTATCATAGTTATCTCGCTGAGTACTCTTAAACCAAGTAATGTCATAACAATAGTCTTTCATCAGGAGGTTACTCATATTTTCAAAAGAATATTCCAATAAAAAAAGACCCCGAGTTAAATTGTTAATGGAACTAATAGCCCAGCTTGCGATAATAGCCACTGCTGTGTTTTTGGTAGAAATGATGGAGGCATGCCTCAGTGGGAAGCACACAGCTACATATCTCTCCAGTGACATCACTACCAGTGTGAGAGGAGAGATTCCTCCTGTGAGATTGGCAATTGTAGTGATGGTACCACATGCAGGATATGTTAGTCTTACTCTACAAACAGCAAGTAGAAAGAGAAGCTGACTCACTACCAGGTGAGCAGTGTCTGCAAGTAGGAGGTTATACAGAAGAATATAACGGCAGGTGTCACGAAACACTGGTTTGCTTCTCAGAGTAAATAACATGGTCCCATTAATGCAGAGAAACACACAGGCTGGAACCGTGGAAAAACCACAGAGGACCACTCTTTCCAGTAAACTCTGATACAACAATACATCAGTGTTATTGGAGTAAGAATCAGACACATTTGACATTACAGAGAGACTATTAAAGATGTGTAGGGTGTCAGCCTGTTATGTAAAAACAAAAGCAACAATAAATTCAGTTTACCAGATAAAACTCAAGCAGTTTAGAGACCAGAAAAAAGACACAATAGTTCAGACTTGCACCAGGGCAGAGTTGGTCTGCAGGGTTTCCCTGACTTCACCTATGATTTTATGATCTGTCCCCTGGAAACCTGCTCATGTGACATAACGTTTACCAACGTTTACCAGATCAGTGATGGGTGATGTATTCTCTCTTGTTAACCCATTCAGTGGTAGCCGTTTTCTCAACAGACTGCCCCTAACTGCCAGTGTTTTTGTGTATTTTTGCTGTTTTGTGAAGAGTCAGAATATTGTGCTCTGAGACCATGTAAATACCAAACTTACCAAAAGAAAGTGTACACTCACTTTTTACATCAGGAAAAATCACACATGGATGGAAATCAACTTTAGAGCCATGATTTTTACTCTGAAGGTGCGCAAGCTGGTTCACATGCCTGTCTCATTAAAAGATGGAATTGACATCTTTAGCCATCAATGGCAGTGAATAAGTTATACCTTTATTCATTCACGAGTCAGTTGAGAACTCATTCGCAGTTACAGTGTTGATCTGGCCGAGAGGCAGCAGCAACAGACACATAGTTAGCTTTACATTAAAGAAAAACAGCTAAGATAAAACAAAAAATACAAGGCAAAAATAAGACATAAAGACATAACAAAAACAAAAGCAGACATAAAGACAAAGGACTGTTCCCATATATATTATGTTCGAGCAATCAAAACAGACTTTAAACAGTCTTTAAAGAGCAAGTCACCCCCAAATCAACTTTTTTTTCCTGATAAACTACATAAATGTGTGTCTAATCGTGCAGCAGACACGTGTAGTCAATAGTTTAGCACTTTCGTGCATTTTAGTTAAAATTAGAATTTTCTGCCTAAAACTGTCAGTGTTGTGCCGTTGTCGGGTAAAAACTCTGCACTGCATTTGAATTTAAATCTGCCTTTGCTATTGGCTAAGAGGTACCCTAGAATGTTAGCTGGTACCATATGATGTCACAATGTCATTGTGAGCCTGTGTGTGTGTCTATATGTTAGCGGCTCTGCCCTCTCTGTCTGCTAGGCAACAGCATTTGTTGCATTTTTCAAACAGGAAGTAGGAGTGGAGCAATACTCTGGTAGGGGGTGACTTGCTCTTTAAGTACTCAGAAACAGACACATTGATCAGAAACTATTGATCACCATGAATTACTGAAGGTAGATAATGGAATTTAGGTAGTGAGCTTCAGTGGTTTTTGCAGCGCATTCCAGTCGTTGGAAGCAGCAAACTGGAATGAGGAGCGGCCAAAGGAGGTGCGAGCTTTGGGAATAACCATAGATATTAAGTTACTGGAACGTAAATTGTGCTGGTTGTTGGAAGTGATAAGTAATGAGAGAAGATATGACAGGTTCTACCGATGATGGTTTTGTATATGAACTGATACAGATGTAACGTCCTGCAGGAGTGAAGTAATGGCCAGTTAACGAGTAAGTACAGATCACAATGATGAGTAGTGAAAGGGCACCTGTGACCAAACAGGTTGCTGAGTGATAAATGACATCCAGTTTATGAAGACGTTTTTGGAAGCAGTCCTTTAAATGATGTCGCCGTAATCTAAGATGGGAAGGATTGTCATTTTGACCAAGGTTTGCTTTGCAGAATGAGTAAAGAATGACCTGTTGCTATAGAAACCCAATTCTTGACTTGACTTTAGAAAGTAATGAATTAATGTGAATGTCAGATGAAAGTGTGCTGTCAAGCCAGATACCCAGATACTTATAGGAACTGACGAGCAGTAGTTCTGTACCACCCAGGGAAACAATACTCGGGTGGAAAGTTACAGTTGAAGATCATGAACTTTGTTTTATTTGTGTTTAAATGAGATAAAGGTTGAAGACAATTAAAATTGTGCTGCAAGGAGGACAAAGCGGTCATGATTTGGGGGTTGTTGCAGGACCCAAAATGCAGGTAATCCAGGAGACAGCCAGGTAGGTTAAAACCAAATGGTTTATTATAAGGTTGTGGTGTGGCAGGATCAGGATCAGGAATGAATACAAACGATACACTTAAAAACACAAGGAACTGACCAAGAGCTATGAACATGACCGGGTTTAAATACTGCTGAGGAGGTGAGTGAAGACAGGGAACAGGTGTGATGATTACTGATACAATGACCTACAGGTGTGGCAAGAGAACAGAAACATGAGAAATGAAGTAAAAACTAAAACACAAGAAGGCTGTACAACACCAGATAAGATAAGAGACTATAACCAAATGATGAAAGGATACATGAGGAGCAGAAATAAACTAGACTGAACACACTGGAAGGGACAGAGAGGACAAGTACACCTAGTAGGGAGAAATATGGAATAAACTGGGGAGACAAGGAACACAGGACATGACAAAAGCTGTGTTCAAGGAAGATCTGCATTCATATAAAATAGTGTCATCCACATATAAATGTATATGAGAACTGTCGACAGCATGAACAATGTTATTAATATAGATTCTGAATAAGGCTGGGCCCAGTATCGACCCTTGAGGAACACCCATAGAGAGAAGTAGAGGAGGAGATTGGTAACCCTCTGTTCTCACTGTTTGCATATGACCTAAGATAAAACTTCTGAACCATGCCATGGATGTCTGAGAAAGTTAGCTGTTTGTTGGCTAACTTTTCAATTACTTTAGAGAGGCAAGGCAGGATAGAGATAGGCATATAACAGCTTAGGTCTGAATGATCTCCCTCTTTAAAGAGTGGAGTAATAGATTCAAATTTCCAGTCCAGTGAAAATGCACCAGCTTTTATGGACATATTAAATAGATGGGTAATAGGTGAAGCAATAACATGTGCTGCTGTTTTCAAAAAGAAAGGGTCAAGAGTGTCCAGTCCGACTGATTAATGAGGATCTAACCTCATAAAGCATCTAAGGGAGACAGTGGCACAGGAGTTAAGTGCTCGCCCAATAATCTGAAGGTTGCATGTGTGAGCCCCACTCAGTTTGTCGCTGTCATTGTGTCCTTGGGCAAGACATTTAATCTTCCTTGCCTGCTGGTGGTGGTGGTCAGAGGGACCGGTGGCGCCAGTGCTCGGCAGCCTCTCCTTTGTCAGTGTGCCGCAGTAGCTCATTCCCACCAGGGTGTGAATGACTGATTGTGTTGTAAAGCACCTTGTGGGGTTCCAGGACTCTCGAAGGCACTGTATCAAATGCCATTTACCATAACCTGAGTAACACGTCAAGTACTTCATTTATCTGAAACAATTGAATGGAGAAGGAGGAACTGGTTGTGGGGAGGAAACCATTGCATATAGCTGAGTTGAGGTCAGAGACCCCAGAGACAGGTGAAGCTGTAGCAAAGGCATGACTGGATTTGATAAAGTGATTATTGAAAGAATTTACCATTTTCGTTTTATCTGAGACAACAATGCCCTCAGACTTTATTGCATTTGGCGAGTGTGAGGACTTGGTATTTTCCATAGTCTTGACAGTCTGTCAGAACTTCTTGGGGTCAGAACTACTCATCAGAAGCTGGTTCTTATAATATTCAGATTTAGCTTTTCTGATTGATTGGGTACAATCCTTTTACATCTGAAGGATTGCCAATCGCAGACATTCTAGGATGTCTTTGCTCTTTGCCAAGATTGATGTTTTAGACTCATCAGTTCTGACAGTTCAGAGTTGATCCAGGGACTGAAACGATTTTAAACTCCGACTTATTTTAAAGGAGCATGTCTTTCTAAAATCGAGATAAAAGAGTTTTTGAAATGTGACCAAGCATCTGCAACAGTAGGAATGAGAATAATTCTATGCCATTGTTCTTTTGCCAAGCCACGTAAAAAGGCCTGGGGTCTCATTTATCAAGCTTGCTTACAAACAAAACGGGGTTGGAAAACTGCGTAAGCAACTTTCCACGCAAACTTTGGGATTTATAAAAAAAACGTAGAGGAAAAATGTGCACAACTTTAAGTTTACTAAGGACCTGGCTTACGCACATTTTGGACATGGAGAGCACCTGCAGTGCTGCTGCCGAGAAGGATAAAATTATGAATTCCAGCAGCATTATCACTTGTACCACTTTGTTTTCACACAGAACAAGCACAAGGCACTTAGCATTGACCATTTATGGATAAGTGTGTTGAGGGCGGGATGTGATCCAGAAACAGCTGAGAACCTTTCTAGGTAGTGTGTGATTTATAAAGCGGAGATTGCATGAAGCTGTGCGTACTCCATGTTTTATAGGTCACAAACTTACTTGGCATAAGTACACTTTTTTGCTGAGCTTAAGTACGATTTTAGTAAGGATTCTACACTATGTTTTATAAAAGAGACCCCGATCATTACGCTTTTTAGCATTAATTTACTAATAATTAGGGGAGGTCGTTTAATGTTTGTACCATTGCGGACACAAGCAGGAATTGTCACACCCTGTCCTGTCTCCCCATTTGGCTCAGCCTGTGTCCCTGTTGATTGCTCCCACCTGCCTCTTGTTTCCCAATCACCCAAGCACCCAGCCCTCCTGTATTTAAACCCCTCCAGTTCTTTGTCTCTTGTTGCCTCATTGTTTCCATGTCCTGCGTGCGTGAATCATTAAAACCCTTTCAGTTGTCCAGTTTATCCGCCTGCCTGCTTTCTCCCCTGCATTTGGATCCTCACCTCCGCTCCACTCACCAGCACATCCTGACAGAATGAGGCAACCCGTTGAAGGTTCCAGCGGGGAGATTCTCCCGTGGGAGTACCTGCTCCAGTGGCTCGCTCCAAGCCACCACCCGGCTTCTCCAGCTTCTCCAGCGGACGACGGCGCCGGCTTGCACCCTCGGCCATCCTCGCCACCCTCCCAGCGCCTGATGAAAGACCGGATCGAGAGACACATTTGGATCACTCCAGTTACGTGGGCACCCGTCTGACTGTGTGCTCCCCCGGGGTTGGTCCACGGCGTGGGGAGAGACGCCGGGCTCCACC